CCCTCATCTGCTTCCCCCCTTAGTTGAGCATTAATTTCTGAGCCTTAGGTATCCACTAACCTACTAATGGAAACATTTCTCAATCTTTCTAGCTCTCAAATTCTCCTGGCACTCACTGCTTCATTGCTGAAGTCCCAGAATGTATCATTTTGGCAGATAACTGCTGTCAAACATCTGGTGTCTGTAACATGCCAGAATCTATCATTTTGTAGAACCATCAGTGGAATGGGACACATACACAGGATTTTAAAACAAGCTGGGGGGGGGCAAGGAAAGGGAATGACAGAGAGAACCAAATGTTTAATAAATGATTAGTATAATTGACAGGGCTGCAGTTTTGCTTACTTAAGACCAAAATGTCTTAATATTGTTTGTGATAGGACAAGAAAACCAAAGAGAAGTGAACTGTCTAACAAGAACTGCCAACCAGTATGAATTAGGTTCTGTGGATAAACCGCAGGTTAGTGGAATCTATTTTATTTTTCATTAGATTCAGCTCAGGTAGATAGGTATCTGCTGAGAAACAGAGCTTGGAAAAGTTACATTTGGGGGCTACATCCTCCATAATCTTTCATCCTCCATTCTGGGAGCTTTAGTCTTTACAAAGTAACTTTGCCAAGTTCTGTAAAGAATCAAGGAACAGGCTGCCCAGCCCAGGAACTGACAATAGTGCCAGAAAGCAGTTCACAAAAATCCAGTACTGGGTCCCCCACAACTAGTCAGCCTAATATGGGAGTAGAAACAACATTGCTGATCTACTGCAAATTAATAGATTTACCAAACTTTGGTCCACACTTGACTTAGTGGATCTAATGGACTACTATAACCCATACCATAGGATGGGGTGGAAAATCTATGGCTTTCCCAATGCAGTTGTACTATAGAGCCTATCACTCCTGACCACTGGCCCTGCTGGGGTTGGAGGGAGTCTAACAACATCCAGAGGACCACAGGCACCATGCTACAGACTGTCATCATACCCTATTCAAAACTGCTATAAACTATAGGTAACTGTGGAGGATCTGGGGCCAATTTTCTGTCCTTGGAATCTGACACAGAATGCCAAAAATGCCAATAATGGGGATGGGGGGACAAACACTAAAGGTTTTGAAAAGCAGATATTTGTTAATGTTAGCAGTACTGAGGTGTGAGGTTTCCACCTAGGACTTTATCACACGTGGCTTTTAAATAGCCATAAAAGTTGGACAACAGTGCCTTTGGTGATACCTATTGCAGGACACCATCTCCCTCTTGTCATTGCCTTGTTCTAGAAGTGTGATTGGCCTGTACCTTGCCATTTTCTTGCCATTGGCAGAAAAAAACATCAATATAGCACTTGTCCTCAGGTGTGGGAAATTATCCCATGGCAATTCCAGGATCACAGTCACATGGTATCTGTGTCTCCTCCTCTGCCTCCTTCCCCTCCCTTTGCTATTATGGAACAGCCTCCCCCCCTGCCCCCACCATCACTATTTTCTTTTTTAAAAATTGTTTGTTTGGGGGGTTTTTTGTATTTAAAAAACAAGCTCCAACACACAAATGAAAGGCATGCAGGATATGGCATAGGACAGGGTGATGAGGTTAAGGGAGAGGGCAGAAGAGAGCACATGGAGCTAGCAACAGCCCAGTGGGACATGTGGTAGAGAGTGCTCCCACATTGGTATGGATGCACTTCTCTTCATGAATGCAATCATGGCGAGAATGGAGGTGGTGTGATAGATTCTTTCCCTAAAAGTTAAATTGCAGTTGCTGAACACTTCTAGGATAATTCAAAGAGATAGCTGTGTTAGTCTATGTATAGTACGGTATATATTGGGCCCTTTATGCCTTAGTATAAAAAGCATAAAGGAATCTAGTAGCATGTTTAAGCTTAATTGGTTTATTCTTTCAAGGACTCTAGCCCACTTTCTCAGATACATGGAGTGAAGTCTCTTTAGACAGAAAGAGGCTAGCAAGACGGAGGTGCTCACGGTAGCGGCCCTGAAACCAAGAATTGGGTT